CTGTATCAAACTGGTGATGAAATTCAAGCGTGCGGGCGTCCGACTTTTGCTAAGTATGACTGGGCTTCTTCGTTGAACCTCGTGCCCAATGCTTGCCACGCCAACTCTTGCTCAGCAGAAAGGTCTGCTCCCTTGCTGACCAAGAAACCTGTCCAATACTCCCAGAAACTCTGAAAGGACATGGCTTAATTTGAGGTTTTGCTATTATTCAGGACCCAACCTTCCAAAGTGGAGGATCGACGTCTCTTCCAAAATGCTCAATTATCACTCTGCGAACAAAAGAGCGAAAGACGGATTCCTCAGAAGAATATGCTTATTCAAGTGGTTTAATCAACACGTGACGCTTACATTTTCATACGTGTTAGCCAAAACGTGAACGAACAGCAAAATGGCATCCCCCAGCTTGTCGAATCTGCGACAAAATAGCAATAGAATATTCTACCAAAACTCTTATCTCTGACCTTTCGCTTTTCAGTACATCTTCACCACTATAATTTTCGGCTCCCTTGTAGAAGCGACGGTGTTCAGGATGGGTGGTAAAGAAGCTGAATCAATTTGATGAAATACATAAATTTTGGACTTTACCTCCAACAATTTATAGAAGTCTCTTCCATGATGACCATCGTTGACAGGAGCTACTCGAAGTGATGCAACCGTATGTGTCGTAACGTCTTTTGGATGCCTAAAGCAGTCTAAGGATTGATGTATCGCAACGAAGTTGCGTTGGATGAAAGTGAGAAAGCATTGAATTGACGAGAAAATGGTCAGAACTTAACCGGCCATTTCAAACAAACTGTATATCATCTGACGGACTCTAGAATGCCGATTTCGAATATATGTTCTTTATTTGCCAACCGAATATCTGGAAAAAGTTAGAGCCTTTAATTTTAAGAAAATTTCGGGTTTCGACAAGTATATCTCCTAGAAAGGCAGCCTAATTTACAGTGGCTATGGTTATTTTGTTTACAAGGAATAAGCACATTCACTGAAAATCTGGACAAGTGTTTTCAAATTGCATAATTAAACGCTCATAATTTCTCCTATATAGTCGCTTGGCAGATAACAAACATACTTTGTGATCAACGTTTCAAGACGAGTCCGGTGATATACAGCATGTGTGGTATAGCTGGATTAAGTTTTGACCATTCCCTGCTGAGCATGGAATGTTTTCCATCTATTCATTTATAACATATTTTTGAAAAAACTGGCATTTCCTTTGTCTTGCAACAGAGAGCTCCAAAGCCCGCAAGTAATCCACAATGTTTTTTTTTGTTACAGGAGCGGGCATATAGAGAATGGTTAAAACTAAGCAAAGCTAAACTGCTTAACAAACTTTCGCACTGTGTTCTAGCAATCAGAAACTGAACATCATAGTGAAAGCTGTGATGCGAAATACAGAAGGCAAGCTTGAAGTGATACTTTTTTGGTTAGTAAACAGCATTTGTGGTAACTACACTGTATCATTGCTTCTCACATCTCTCTCATCATCTTCAAGCGCGGCGGAAGGCATTGCGACTGCATATCCTACTACCGTATACGTCTACAGGGCATTCGAATCGTGACGGTTTTCTGCTTACACATGATAGTATTCGGATACTGGGATTGGCTGAGGTGATCGCTGAGGTAATGTTTTCTGCTTGGGTGTCGTATGCTCCTGTGTGCGTAAAGATGGCAGTCGAAAAAGTCGCCACGATTCCAAGTACCCATACACTCAACTATGTAAATATTAGGCTGTCTCATAAGTTTTTTTTCGAATTTTTACCGCAATAAGTCACAGAATTCTCAGTATTAACTAGAGTGCAGAGTACCATTCGATAAAACAGAGCAAGCTCTACAAGATATACTGTAAGTGTTAGCATCAGTTTCAGCACATCACGAGTTAAAAGCCAAAGTCTGAGAACTTTCGGATGCCCAAAAATTGAATCTTTTTACATCTTTGTCCTAAGAAAGCTTACCGGATTCCAAACTCTTACGCATATACTCTATACATAATACATTCATATATATCGTTGCCATGTTGTTGTTATATTAGAAACGGAGAAAACTTGAATCTTCAAGCTTTCAAAAAAGGATGCTACGCTGTTCTTAGATACGTAAATGTATACTACTCCTTCAGAGATACATCGATATGCGCAACACAGAATTTAGCTACTTTTGTTGGGTATTTTATGTTGAATTCACTATTTTTTGGGAACCAGAGCTTATAGAAAGCTAAGAGTCTGTCATTGTATTACCAAAGGCTTGTAGTGCTTTTATCTGTGCGAGAACAGCGCAGTATTGCTTTTTGGAAGCTTGAGAATTCTAGCTTTCTCGGTTTCTAGCACAGAAACAAACACAGCGACGTATATGAATGTATTATGTGGAATATATTAGGTTGTCCGGAAAATAATGTCGCATCGTGTTCTATCATGCAACATCACAGCAGCGTGCGCACGAAAATAAGCAAGTGGGGTATCAACCGATAGATCAGAGCAAGCTCCACATGAAGCTCAAACTTTCGCGCCAGGTCTGATTTGCGTGCAGTTTGGATCCAATTTTCATAAGGCATTAAAGGCCTAAAAAAACGAAAAAAATCGTTTCTCCGTTCAGAAAAGTCCTGGGAACCACTAACTCACTATACGAGACACTCGAAGCACAACTTCGCTGTTTTTGCATGGCTGAAATGAGAAAACGAAGTTCGGTATATTTTTGCCAAAGCAATCCTGAGCTTCTCTCACATTAATGATTGTAATATGAACCTTTAGGAGTGTAATCATAAATTTTCAGCTTTAGACAAGCGCTAGTTTTCGAGGAAAATCAAATTGTTTGCAAAAATCCTGAAAAACGTGAAATAATCGCACTTTTGACCTATTTTTTGGTCGTATGTAGCCATGGAAAAATACCACAAACTATACAGGTGAAGGGGGACGAGTGGCGTAGTGGTATGAGGCGCCACTATGACCAGATCGGACACAGGTTCGATCCCCGTCCCGTCCGTGGGCCAACCAAGCCCTCTACCCTTCGGGGCCGGTAAATTGGTACCAAGTAATCTGAGAGGATAAAAGCACTGACTTGAAAACGGCTGGCCCTCGCAAGTCACTGTAATAGGCTCGCACGCATACAATTGCCTCTTCGACTATGAAGTTAGTGTGTGCGTTCGGCGCATGCCCCCAAAGGGTATTGAAGACGCCGAATCCTTTATCCTTTTATACAGGTGAATGTCCCGTGTTACATGCCTGTTTGATTTGGAGATCCCTAAGACCTCCATGAACGAAGTTACGATTTTTTGGATATTCGAAATTTTTGTATTTTGAATTCGAACTTCAGGTAGAGCAAGATTTTTGCGGAGATTTGTAAACTGCCTTGGAGAGCTTGCTTTGCTCTATCAAATGAGATCCCATTCGCTGTTTTCTGTGGTCGTTCTTTCGCGGTAGGATGCCATGCGACATTATTTTCCGGACTACCTAATATATGCGTGAGCGAGTTTGAGATCCGGTAAGTTTTCCTTGGACGAAAATATAAAAAATTTCCAATTTTTCAGGCATCCGAAAGATTTCAGATTTTAGCTTCTAACATGTGCTGAAGCTGGTGCGAACACTTACATGCCATCTTGTAGAGCTTGCTTCCCTCTATCGAATAGAAACTTCTAATTACTATTAAGAAATGTGTTTAATAAGAACTCATTGCAGTAGAAAGTCAAAATTGAAAAACTCATGAGACAACCTAGTATTGAACACTAGCATTTGATTGATTAAAATTAACATTTCACCACAATTTCTGATGCTTCTACGTCGCGCTCAGATGAAGGAACAAAACATAGAAACTTACATTTTTGTCCTGATGATGTGTGCTTCTGCAAACATAAAATCACGGAGTATATTTTCTAGTCCTTAACAGCTACTTTTGCCGTTAGATATTCAATGTTGTTTGTGATCTTAGCGGATTTCGAGCAAGCACAATCGATGCAATATAAGAACGATAAAAAATCTCGCTCAACAGCAAAGAGAGAAGCTGAGGGTGCTCGCAGCTACGACATATATGATTAAAATAAGTTTTTCAATCTATTAGTTTGCAAGAAGTTTCCAGTAAAGCGAGTTACTGCAGGTTCGCTGCTTGTTGCTTATATTGATGTCGGATACGCCCAATTAGAGTAGCATGTAAAGATTACGTTGCAAAAAGCCACTAAAAATACCTGAAACCTTTTTATGTATCGAGAAAAACGTTACGAACAAGGACAATTTTCCTTGATGAAGGACTCGCAGATTTCAAACTAATCAATCATCGGTAACAAAATGATGGTGTCCATTGCATCCTCGTAAGGATAAGCAGAGTCGAAAATGGTTTTGAAACTTCACGTGGTAGATACCGAAGAAAGACTATTACTTTGGATGAGATAAAGATTGGAGAAATTATTTTGTATATTGCATTATATTGTATATACCATCACCCTCACGGTATCTTTGAAAAGATGTATGTAGGTATTTTATTCCATTCTCAATGCTAAATTACCTTTGCAGTACTTGTAGTACTTCCAACTCATGAACAGTCGTCAGGTTTAACGTGCAGCTATGAGTAGTGACACATCATATCAGGGCTGTAAGAAAGGATCAGGCAAGTAATCATCTCTCAAGTACATACATACAGAGGTCCTCACACCGTTCAAGTTTGCAAAGTTTTTACTTACCTCTTTGTGTGACAAAACGATTCATAGCCCATTCTGTGCAAATGTCACGTATATCCACTGCTAGTCTGAAATTGCGCTTGCACTAATTAGAGATTATCCCTTAGAAACGGGCATTCCGCCGGCGTGCTCGAATATATAAATACGGCACTGGAGGCACACAGTTTGTGTGGAACATTCTTTAGTCTGCAAATTAACAAAGCACCCTGACCGCAAAAACGAAACTTGCGGTATTGCAAGAGGTTTTTCTCGCGTAAGCTTGCGGTATTTCGCGAATGTTCAACAAAGAACAAATGTCTTTGCTCTTTGTTGAACATCCAATAAAGTATATAATTTTTTGATGTCTGATAGAGTATCGTTTGACTTATGCTATGTGATTTTGTTTTTGGCATCCTTGAGATTAATTTCGAATCGTTACTCACCCGCAAGGTTGACGTCTAGGAACTTAAAAACTGAATTTCACTTCTTCAGTACTATCTGCTGTGGCGTGATGTAAGTTCTTCAAATTTGAGAAACAGAATTTTTAACATGATTGAGTTTTTGCGCTTTTTACGTGCGATTTGAGTCGATATTCGTAGTTTTACAATTTTTGCACTCTTTTAGTTCAGAGAGATACAAAAGTTTATAAAATTGCTAATACTCTTTTAGCAATTTCTTCCAATTTCCACATGCAAGTTTAACTTCAACTGCACTCAATTTTGTTTTTTTGTTGAAAATTTGTGCTAAGAGGCCATTATTGCTTATTAAGGAAGCCCGCTGACGTCAGAAGGCACACGGTTGAGTCGCTCAAGGTAGCGCCACTTGGTGATGGTCATCACGGAAGGGACTTTTACAAATAGTAAGTTATGGACAAGTTTAACCCCAAGCCAAATCACGACGTTCAGCTTCTTCGCTTCTCATCCTGAACACCGCCACTTCTACAAAGGTGCTGAGAACTATACTGGCGACGATGTGGCAAAGAGCGAGAGGCGAGTAATGAAAGTTCGCTGCTTGTGAGCGTGCGTAATTTTGCAGATTTGACAAATTAGGAGACGCTATACTTTTATTCGTTCACGTCTTGGCTAACGTATGCGAAAATGTAAGCACTGGATTTTATGCTCACTCATGTTCAAAAATTGTCAATTTTCCAGGAATCGGTGTATCGAGCATTTGTTCGCAGAGTTATGTACGAGCATTTCGATAGATCAATCGACCCTGAACTTTGGAAGGTGACTTTTTTGTGTTTATTCACACAACATATTTTCTCCGCTTAACTGGTGTTCCACAAAACATTTATTTTCAGCCATTTTGGGATTACTGGATGGGATTTCTAAAGAGCAAGGGGGCAGTTTTGACTGCAGAGCAGAAACAGGCGTGGAAGGAATTTGGTACCGTATTCAACGCTGAATGCCAAGCATATCTGACAAGAATGGAACGCCCACATGCGTGAAGCTGCGCTTTGGCCATTTTTAGCTAGTTACCTAATAAATATTACCAAGCAGGCCTCAATCAATGATTGGTGTACAAAGGAGAAACATCACAACTATGGCGTTCAAGATCTTTGATTTATTAAGTTGATGCAAAATAATGGCCGCTTTTCCAGGCCTTTCAAAACAACTTTCTTTTTTTCATTTTTTCTCAGAATTGTCGTAGCATACATTCAAAAGCTCTTCAAAAGAAATTGTCTAGACTGAGATAGAGGCTTCTCAACATGGATAGCCGCTGCGGTCATTTCATGACCCATAAATCTCTTTTGAAGAAGAAAATCGCCTAAGCTTTGCTCACTTCTGTAAGCGTAAGGGTAGGGCATCCGTTGACAGCTTTGCAAAATCATTAGTCGTTCTATAATTCGGAACCTTAAGGACTACTGAAAAAATGTTGAAAATAGCCGACAATTTTGGAGCTCATTTTTTTCCTTTCCGCAAATCCTTTTTGTTCAAACCTTTTCCATAATTTTCTTTGTACTACTGGCTTCCGGCTACAGCTAGGCTAATTTTGCTTAGATGAGAAAAAAGAAGTATGACTTAGTAAAAACAAAGTTTTAGAAGAAATTTTTAATGATATTAATATATCAACGGATCTGAGAAACATGGAAATAGACAACAAAAAATTGTTTTCAGCAGACTTCACCATTATGTTCACTAATATTCCACATAATATCATAATATTATAAGCAATCTGAAAGAAATTCTCGAAACATGCTTCAAAAATGCATGCAGAAGTTTTATAAAATTAACAATAATCATAAAATTATGTACTCCACAGCACAAGATAATACTTTAGGATATAGGTATTATAGAATAGAAGATATAATTTATCTTATTGATTATATTCTACGTAATAGCTTTTGTCGCGCTGGAAACCAACTTTTCAATCAAAAAATTGAAGTACCTCAGGGCGGTAATGCTAGCCCAATAATTGCAGATCTTACCCTCTCATATTTTGAGTATATCTTTGCCTGCAATATACAAGATCCAAATTTTCTATTTCAAGCATATCGATATATGGATGATATTCTAATCATCTATAGTAAGACCCAAGAATAAAAAGCACTGGATAAAGTCTATAATAATGTTTTGAATTTAGAAATTACAAATCCTACAGAGTATGAATGCAATTTCCTAGATATACACATTTTAATTAGAAATGATGTTATAAACACTAAACAATATAACAAAACAGATGATTTTGACTTGAACTAATCAGATTTAGTCATGGTTCTTCATACATTAGCTCTATGCTCAAATGCGCTATTACTTATACAGAAGCTTTAAGAATATATAGAAACTGCACTGAGTTTGAAGACTTTTACGATAGAATCAAAATCCTGATTAGGTTATTACTTAAACTGAAATATGACAAAGAAATAATACAGCTAGGAATATTCAAATGTTTAACATTTAACAAATGCATTACATACAAGTATACACAATTAAACAATTTTAGAAATGTCAAGACCTTTGTTGCTAATATAATCTACAGTATGATCTAATTGTTCGGCCTTTGATCTGATTAAGCTACCCCACAGGTTAAAAGGCGACCCTGCTATGGTGTCATCACTCTTCTCCTCCTTCAACCACTACTCCCTACTGATGAGCCTCGGGAGTGGTCTTATACAGTTCCCTGTCTAGGGGTAGAGGCGAAACAGGATAACATTAAAATTAATTAATTTGTTACCTATCAATATTTCTCCTCCAGAGTGCGGTGTAACAATAGATGTATTGCAAAAGGTTTGCTTCTTCTGATGATTTTTATCGCGTTCAGAACTGTACATTCTCCAGAAAGTTATAGCCCGTCAAAGTGAGAATTCGCGTAACGGCCGTCATTTTTGCATCAACCCAATAATATTATGGCTAAAATATGTATTACGAAATTTTTCTGGCCTGAAATTTGAGATGATGGTGATGGATGAGGTACGCGCAAAAGGTAAATTTATGGAAATTTCATGACTCTTGACTGACAAATTTGAAAAGAAGCAACGTATATAAATGCATGCCATGCAACTACCTCGATTTGAACATGGAATTAGATAACAACGAATAAGCAATTCATTATAGAATTATGTACACACATTTCCAACTTTAGCAAAGATTTATAATATAATCATTTCAACAACAATTTCAAAAGATTCACAAAAAAATACACCACTATTGCAAGCGGTCTAAGTTGTACTTTCTTCTGATCCGCAGGATTGGATTTCACAATGACAACTTAATACATTCGTTCTTCTTTCTGCATGACAAATATGGTCACCATCTCTGGTTTCTGCCTCCAAAGTGGTCGAAAACAAATTCTAAAGGTTTTGAGCATGATAGCTAGAATTTCGAAAAACATACAGAAAAGATTATATCAGAGTAGATAGAATTCAAAGAGTAAGAGCGAGATGCGAAAAACATTAGATTAGAGGATGATTCAAATAATAGTATTGCAGTTTCTGAGTAATCGTTCCCGCATCGATATATTGGGAAATTGTTGGTTTGCAGAGAACTGAGAATGGGGAAACGATGAGCACTTACGGCAACTACAGAGGATGGAAAGTAGAATGAGAGATGGGAGGAGGAGGGCGGGGGGACAGTTGAGGAATGTATTAGATAAGTGCAAAAAGTTTTGCCAGTTTCCTGAATCTACCCTCAAATGCGATAGAATGAATATAAGCAAAGAACTCGACTTTCCAGCTGCCATATCATTCTTTGAGAGAGTACTGAGATGATCGCTGGAGATTACAACCTTTCGTTTTCACCATGTCTAACTTGCGCCAGTTTTCGAGATTCCTTTTGAAAAAGCTTTGGTAGCCAACGGAAAGGGCAAAACCTTTTGCTAAAGCAAATTTTTATCCTTTCTCAGCCTCTCATTTAAAATTTTTCTAAAAAATTTTCCAAAAATCTCGAGTTTTCGAGAAGTCGCATAAGCTGTTCTTGTATCAAGCACTGCAAAGTCATCAGAATAATGAGGTTCTAACAATCGGTTATTATCACTAACCTTACAAATTAATTAGGGTAAAGAAGAGCGATCTTTGTTTTGAAATATGAAGATTTCCAAACATGGTTGTCAGGCGCACTCGTGAAATTGAGACATACTGCAGTCCCGCAAACTTCGCGCTCCTGCCAAAAAAGGCAACTATCACAAAGAGGAGAAGAAGTGCATCGATGCTCAAACTGTTCAACATTTGAAGTGCTACGAGGTCAGAATAGGCCGAATATAAAATTTGGTCACTTCAAAAAATATATTTCAGAGACTCTGTACAATCCAGAGAGCTACAAGAGATTGCATCAATTTGCAAAAAGTTTGCCCTATAAGCCGACTATCAGAGCACTTTCAAAATTCTCAGATAAAATTTTTGGAAATCAGCGAAAGTCAGACATGGAACATGGAGGCATGAAAACGAGGGGTTGTAATCCCAGCAATTATCTCAGCATTTTCTCAACGAATTACTTTGGGAAAATGGCACATAGAGAAACTTCGCACCGGGTACAGTTGAAATGTTTGTTTGTTATACTCTACCGGTTTTGCGAGTTAAATTCAAAAACTTAGAACTTAATGACGTAATGTATACGCATGACTCACGCGACAATAGCTGAAGAGCCAGTAAGGAGGCAAAAATTTGCTGGAAAGGAAGAAAACCTAGTTTAAGTTTTCTTAGCGGGTCTTCTCCTTGGACGTTGTACAAACAATATTCCTTTGTTTCCTATCTCCAAAAAATTATTGCGTAAACTGGTAAGCCACCTATGTCGAGCTACCTCAAATCTTTCATTATTGGCAAAGTTGCAATTTGCTTCGTAGCAATACAATAGCAGCGGTGGAATTTGGCCAAAATTGCGGGATTTTCGGGATTCGCGATTGCGGGTTCGCGATTTTACGGGATTCGCGGGATTTGCAGGATTTGCGGGATTTATTTATAACTTCTTTGAGAACAACTCTATAGGAAATCCGCAAGAAGATTCAGCAGTCCCACTGCAATCCTCGCTAAAATCGCTTTCCTGCTTGTGGCTGACTTCAGGCTGAAGCCTCGGAGGTGAAATTTCGAAAGTATGCGATAAATGAACCTAGGAAATAATTGCACGGATTTAATTCCGGGAATTCCGCGATATCCAATGAAATTTTGCACATTCTGTGAGTGGTATTGTGCAGAGTTTCAGCTTCGCGGCTTGGGATTGAGCCACAAGCAAGATTGAGATTGAAGCGAAAAGGTAGCTGGCAGTGGCATGCGCCGTTGCGTGATCGATCGATTGCGCAGCGAAAGACCAACCACCGGCAGAGCACCCATTTGCAAGAAAAGAGTCTAAAAAAGACTCTAACGCACATATCATGAGGATTGCAGGACTTAGAACTTGCATGATGGTTCCACTACAGTCTTCTAGCAGTCTAGCCAAACTGACACGAATCAGTGACGTCATAGGCGAAAAAATGACAAAATCATCATATCCTTGGTAAGAATAGATAAAAATGCACACAGTTCCTTGGGAACATTCCCAACGTTCATCTTTCACACACATTCCAAGCCTAAGCTTCCAGGCTTAGGCCTGAAGGCAGCCACAGGCAAGAATGCGATTTTAGCGAAAAATCGGCGAGCGGTGGCATGCGCCGTTGCGCGATCGATCGATTGCGCAGCGAGAGACTAACCGCCGCACAGCACCCATTTGTAGGAAACACTAGAAAAGACTCTAGGCATTTTTGTCATTTTCCGCTTATGACGTCACTGATTCGTGTCAGTTTGGCTAGACTGCTAGTGCTCATCTTCATCTAAATAGAATATTCGGTTATGGCAAACGTTTCGAAACGTCTTTTTTCTTCAGCCAGATTTTTAGCCAATTATGATTTCTGAAGTAAATCCTTGATTTGATGACAATACTTTTATCTAGAGAAGCTAAGTGGCGTTTTTCTGTGATGCAAAAAATAATTATACATTATCTGTCTAGTGTCATTGAGAGTCATTTACAGCAAGCTCCTCAACGATTGCTAATATGATTTTTGAAGTAAATCGTTGATTTGATGACAATACTTTTATCCAGAAGAGCTGAGTGGTGTTTTTCAGTGATGCAAAAAAAATAATTATTAGACCATCTGTTTAGTGTCATTAAGAATCATTTAAAGCAAGCTCCTTAGCGATTGCTAATAGATTGCATCGAGAATTTGCTTCGACGACGTTTTAATCATTTTTGCTTCTCTACTGTACAGGACAAAATATTGTGTACTTGAACCCTTTACTACCTCTTTGAAGTGCAGTAATCACATTGATTGATTGTGCTTTAATAATCAGCTCTACGACCTCAAATTTCAAATGAAACATTAAGCGCTGATTACTGCAAACTCACTCAAATGCATAGATGCAAGTTCTTAAAAATTGTGGAAAGGCGTGTGCGTGTGCATTTTTTGCGGTAACTCCGCGATATCAAGGCAGTACTTTATGCCTCTTTTCTAGTAATTTTCAAAGGACGCAAAAGCTTGTCTCTTCAATGCTCGTCGTTTCCTATTCTTAATACCCTAAAATCCCGCAGATAAGTCCTGCCTTGAGCATGAGCAAGCGCGACCTAGGAGCACAGACGTGCGCGACCTCCCGCGTAGCTTGCTGGTGAAGATTTAAACAGGACCGCGGTTTCGCCTGAAAAAAAAGCCAAAGGATTCGACAAGCCGTGCACACTACTTCTGAGAATACCGTCGTCATCACATACGCCTTATAGTTGAGTTCTGTTCCTAGATATGACAGTGCTTGTACATATGAAATTGAGCGATTTCTGCCGGTGAAATCATAATAGGTTTCATCATTGTATCATTGTTATCATCTCATCTTATCATCAGTTTTTTGTATCTCATTTCGAAAACGACAATGTTCTCAATACATCGCTCGAACCTGTAGGCCACAACTTTGAACCTGCCTGCCTATACTTTTTGCTTTCTCTATTGTTTACATGGTCTGAACGTACTCTCTGTTGACCTATGCCATACGGCTTTTGTCAAATGCTTTCCTTTTTCACTATGGCTTTTGTCAAATGCTATATTGAACGGAAGAGTGATAGTCTAAAAGCGCTTAACCCTAGCAAAGCATTAGGCTTCTTTGTTCTTTTTCTCAATTCTTGTTTCATTAAGCCTGTACATCCAAGACAAAAGACACTGTAAATCAATTTGGTGCTGCCTGCTTGATTGCGCATCCTTCCGTTCTTCATCTGAGAAAAGAATCGGACTTATCTGATGGCGGACTTATCTGCTACCTGCAAATTATAAAAACATCATTTCTCGAATAACAAATTTTTTGATGTTTATGGTGTACTTGAGTAGTTATCACATCTAGCCGAAAATTCTGCTGTAGTCGTACAGCGCCTTGAAAACTCACGGCAGTGCGATATGATACATCAAAATGTGTTGAAATCTTGCTTTCAGTTTAGGAGTTATTATAAGTTACAGCAGTGCACATGAGAATAGATTTTCTCCGAAATATTTGAGCATATTGTACCTTCCCACTCGTAAGAACATGATAACTAAATTTTTGCTTTTTGCTTTGCAAACTTTTGCGTCCGTTGAAAATTAGAAAAGAGGCATAAAGTACTGCCTTGATATCGCGGAGTTACCGCAAAAAATGCACATGCACACGCCTATTCACAATTCTTACGAACTTGCACCTATGCATTTGAGTGAGTTTGCAGTAATCAGCGCTTGATGTTTCTTTTCAAATTTGAGATCGTACAGCTGATTATTAAAGCACATCAATCAATATAATTACTGCAATTCAAAGAGGTAGCATAGGGTTCAAGTACACAATATTTTGTTCTGTACAGTAGAGAAGCAAAAATGATTAAAACGTCGTCGAAGCAAATTTTCGATGCAGTCTATAAGCAATCGCTAAGGAGCTTGCTGTAAATGATGCTCAATGACAATAAACAGATGACTAATAATTGTTTTTTTGCATCACTGAAAAACACCACTTAGTTCCTCTGGATAAAAGTATTGTCATCAAATCAAGGATTTACTTCAGAAATCATAATCGGCTTAAAATCTGGCTGAAGAAAAAAGACTTTCGAAACGTTCGCCATAACCGAATAATCTACTTAGATGAAGATGAGCAGAATGGAGTTTTGAATCATGAAGCATACAGATACGCATGTGATCTAATGGCCCTAAAGAAATGAAAATTAGGAGTACTAAAAGAAGTTAGTACTCGCTTTTGTAGAGCAAGAAGCCAATTTTTTTTATCGTCTCTGGTGTGTGTTCAAAACAAGCATCATTCGATACAATTATGGTGTAGACTTATATTTATTTTTGAACATAAATTTACAGCGTGTTATCAAAAAGCTGCAAATTCTGGAGAGGAATGAATTTTGAATGTTCATTCATCAAGCCTAGAGCAAAGTAAGTATTTGCATCTGCGACTTCATTTGGAAAACAAGCAATTTTTCGATTTCAACTTTTCGGTGAAAAAGTAATCTTTAGCACCATTTCCATAAAAATACCCTTTCGATTTTGAGGACTGCAAAATTTTAATGGCCATGCGACTGGGGTATTTAATGATTGTTGTATGATTAAAAAGAGACTACTCCATCCGATTGGCAAAATCATCTGAAAGCTTTGAAAGCATCGTAAGATTGTCATTCGACACACTTGATCACAAGCAACGGACACACTTTAGCCACGAATTGCGGGCTGGTTCAAGGATTAATACAATTTTTCGTTTTAGTGAGTGTCAGGAGATTTTCTTCATCTAAACCTTCAAAGCTGATTACAGATAAGCGATTGAACGAAGTACTCGCATGACTCATACAGGGCTTTATTTTAAGTGTATAAAAGGAAATCGTGTCTTGTCGGTTATACGCTTTCGATTTCTCGCTTCAAATGTCGTAAGACTTGCCTTCCACAAATATTCCTATCGAGGCCACGGGTGTAAGCCCCCAGCAGAACCCATCACAGTCAACATAACATAACCTATTTTGCAGCCGCCTACAGAATGCTGAGAAAAGACATTATGTGATAGGTAAAACAAAAATGTTGACCTTTCGTTTTCTGATATTTTAGTACAGCCTTTATTCAAAGAAGTGCATTTATATTATAGCTTTTAGAGTTAACAAGAAATTTTTCTCTTTTCACAATCGTGCTTTGCTTCTTGGCCAGCACAGAGGCACTCACGTGTGAACTTCACGATCCTCTATTGAGCAAGGCAGCTTCGCTTCATGCAGAGTCAAGGTAAATGCTTTGAGAGCTTGGAGATGGGAGTACAAAAGTTTTTGCATGTGATCCAAGAATTCTGACACTTAAGTGTCCATTGGAACAAATTCCTCTTCAACTTTTCCTCTCCCCTTTGCTAGATTCCGAAAGAACAAAAGGGTCCCGGCTTTTAAGAAAAACGGACCTTAATCAAATAGCCTGCGCAGTTGGTGTGATCAAGGAGAAATTGTGAAATCAAAGCGGCAACGTATTCGCTTCACAGAGTATTTGCCACCTTCGTCCCAGCCGTGGTTCACATTTCTATCACTTCTAAATTTTATTCGTAAACTTCTGTCACCGCTGTGTTTGCGAGCTAAAAAGTACCTCAAATGCTTTTGTAAAGCGCATGATTAACTTTTTCAGACAGATTCAAAATTTCAGTAAAGCAAATGCTTCGGAATGTAAGAAGCTGTAAATTTCTTGGCGCTGACACATTTTTGGGCGAACCATTTTCACGGAAGCGTTTTTGAACGAATATCGGACTGTAATTAGGATGTCACACTACGTTTGGCATCTACATCTCGCTTCGAATGGTTTCTGCAACTCAGAGTACTTTCTATCAACTGAAGAAACGGCAAACGTAGGTATCATACGTGTGGAACAAAATCAATGATATAGGTTTTACCAAAAGTATCCGCATCTTGAAAATATTCGACCACTGCAATATAAAGGAAGTCAATTAATTAAAAGATGTCATGTGTGCCCCTAAATGTTGAATCAACTGAAGAGTTTTTTGTTCACTTTCGCACTTTCACACCACACTTCAATCAGTCTTGCTATCGTCCCCTCTCCGGTGTACGTTGGCCGAAGCATTGGCAGACATCTGAATCCGTTGCTGAACTTATTCACCCTCTACTGCAAGTTTTTCTTTGTAATCTCTCGTTACCAACTCCGCCACGTATGACAACAGATATATACGTGGCAGTTTAGAGAGTAAAAAGAACTATGCTTTGCAGTAGAGTTTTGATAAGTCACAAACGCGTTCAAATGTCTGCAAACGCTCCGCCCAACGTACACCGGGGATGCAACGATACTAAGGGCGGTATTTACCAGACCCCTACTTAGGAACGGAATTCCTGTACAGGTAACAGCCCATACAAACGCGGGCACTGACGCCCGCGATACACGAAGCCAAGCTGGTGATCGGGCTCCTGCCTATTGACGAATATGGTCTGATCTGGCAAGTTTAGCCATGACGGGCACGGCAGTCGGGCAGCGAAGCCCGACCTCTAGAGATCGCGCTCTGCTGCCCGACATGGCCAAACTTGCCGGACCGGACCACATTCTGAAGTTTGGTTAATTACGGGATTGACGCTCTCGCCTGTTCGGGCACTCGTTAATAATGGCCCGAAGAGCGAGTTGGAAATTGATAAATAAATCATCCAAATTTATGTAATCACTGGAGCTCTAATGTATGCTATGCTTGCTATAAGATCCAATTTACGAGTTCATGACTAGCAAGATATTTAGTGTACTGATTTCAAGGGATGCTCACATTCACCGGGGACACAGGAGGTGTTTTTTGAACAACCACTTCTTGAGGACGTGGCGCTAAATGTTTGCAAAATTTGGACCTTCAAACACATATAATTTTTTCCATAGTCCGGCATCGCAGATAAGCAAGCTGGCCTTGGATCAAGGCAAAACTTTCCCAAGCAACTTTTTTGATAGAGGAATTTCGATTGAAAAGATTATGACAATATTGGAAACTCCCCAACCTTAATTACTATCTGATCATCCTCTTTTTCAATTCTTTCTTCTGTGCATTAGCATGTCCAGACAAAATTGACCAAAAATTGCTAAGGTTAGCTGTGGCTCCAAAACAACTTACAAGGGAAGCGCCTTTACTCGAAGTGGCCCTTCCAAATGATTCCTATACCACTTTGAAGAACGTTTAACGCTGATTCCAAATCTGTTTTTAATATGTGCCAAGCGCCCCTGGGCGCCGAGTTATGAGTGTTTTTTGGAGCAAAAAATGAAGGCAGATTCTACGTAAAAACAGTAATTACGATATTTTCTGCGCTCAGATAGAGCAGTGTTGAGTATTAAGGTATTAGACAAAAGGTGTTCATTACATGAAGTGCTCTGGTAATAAACACCTGACCGTTTGAGCAGTCTTGGCGGTTTCGTTCCAGTTGTGCATTCAGTTTTTCGACTAAAAAACGCCCATAAGTCGGCTTCCAGAAGCGCTTGGCAGATATGGAAGACGGATTTGGAATCATCGTTCGATGCTCTACAAAGTATTATAGGTGCCATGTAGAAAGGCCACTTCGACTAAAGACACTTCCCTTGTTAGTTAGTAGTCTATAGTTTTGCAGAGTCAAGGAAAAATATTAGCAACCGAAAACCTTTGGTAAAACATGTCAAAGCAAGCTTTGTTCCCTTTTTCTCTGAAAAGGCAATTACCGATATTTTTTGTTTCAGAGAAAAAAAGCTGATGAATTTGCAGTTGAACAAGCGAAAAAGTTGATGACAGAGTTGTGCACACTGTGCACAGTTTTATGAGGTTCTATTTTTGACGTAATCTGCGACATTGTCTCTTGCAAATGCCTAGGAATTACAGTAGAGAAAACAAGACTATTGTAAACTCGTAATTTCACTTGCACTCAGAAGATCATTTGCTTGGGTAGAGGATTATATGTCGCCGAAAGTGGAGATACACAGCCTGTGCATGTATTTAAAGGTGTATTTGTCGCAGATGTCCGGCGTGACCTCCCACTTCCGACGACATGTAGTCTCCTACCCCATTTCTTTCTCTGTCAAGTTATGTCAAAGAAGTTTCGTTTGTTCGCCGTTTTATCAAACCTCTATGTACCTCTTAATTTCTCAAAATATTTTTTCCAGAGACTTTACGTCAGTTCGACAAGAATGAGAATTTTAAACCTTACCTTCTTGTTACTTACCATATTAGTGGTACGTTGATCAAGCAAGACATGACTTAGTTTGCGATTTTACTCCTTGGACTTACTAACTGTACATTAATTTGATGCTTACAGATTCTCTCTGCTGTGGACGTTGGTGAATGCGGAATCAAGGATTTCTTCAGAGATTTTGCAAAAGGTTTCAAAATAGGATGGACGAAAACTAGGGATATTCTCAGCAAAGTTCCGATCATTGGCGGGGTAGCCCAAGCGTTGCCAAGATTCAAATTAGAAAATGAAGCAGTCGAAGGAAATTGATATTTCGTTCTCGATTGTCGATAAACCTTGGCATTGTGAAGTTGTAATACAGTCCTTGAGCTGTTGACCAAGGTTGCTAGCAAGACTTTATTGCGCGATAAGCCAACGTTTCGGCGGTCCGTCCGCCTTCATCAAAGCTTCCTGAAAGATTGAGACTTTGAGAACTGCCTGCTCCTACGCCTTGTTTGGCAACAGGTTCGGTTTAGCTGTGTGATGGAGCGAATGAATGTTGAAAGCCTGACTTCAGCCTTGTCAGATCGGGATATAGAGACCGAACAACCAGTACTGCGCAGCAGCTGCGCTATGAATGAGTATGATAGTCAGTGTCATCAATGCTCTTTATATGGTTATAGAAGATCTCGTATTAGAATCCACCTAGTGTTTGACAGGAGAACATTTCGCTGTTTATGGCAATGCCTTCATCTTTGCGGTTCATTTCCAATGGTTTAGACGCTTTCCAAAAGGCCTCCTGCGTTTTGCGGGCTGTTTAACTCGGACTCATGCGATAAGATCGTAACAGTGACTTGAAAGTACTGGTTCTTATTACATAACCTTCGAGTGCACACAAAGGTGTGGACACTTTGGATTTTCAAAGGCGTCAAGATGTTCTTTGATTCTTGTGCACAAGGATCTGCCGGTCTCTTTTATGTATGCTTCACCGTATCTTTGACAAGTTATGAAATACCAGTCTGATCGTCTGGTTTCGCCGGACTCTCAGAGTTTGGCTCCCAGGCCGGCAAACGTGCATTGAGAAGTTCTGATAGACCCTATTATGAAATTTTAGACTAATACCTCTCAATATTGAGAATATTGAGACGACCGTAAAAATTTGTGGATGTGATCAGCAGAAAGTGCGGACATATAATTGTTTCCTTCTGAGTTTCACATGTATAGCTCTTTTTTGAAATCATAAATTCTATGACTGATAGCTTTGTTGATGATTCGGACAAAATCACTAAATTTGGATAATTTATTATTGTTGGTGACTCACTGACACAAAATTCTTCGAAATAAATTTTACAGTTGACTACTTAGTTCATTCACGAAATCACGAAAAGATCTGCTCAGTACATCGCAAAATCATGAGTTAAGCTTTAGACAGGTGCCTATTATGCTGTCTATAACATTCATTATCGCGATGCAAACTAAGTGCTTCAGAATAATAGTGAAAACAATTTTCGTAAAAAAAATTTGATTCAGGGCTTTCCCACTATTCTCTCATTTCAAGTTGAAAGCCGTTTCGGCAAATTTGCTGTTCGTGTCCCGAGTATGGCGATTTCAATAAGTCGGCTTGTTTATCACTTGACCACATGTGAAAATGTCTTCAGCAATAACACCGTTAAACAGCGAGGATTTTCGTAACATTCTAGCCTGCTATTGCTGACAGTGGGCTCACGCTCACATTGTTTTTGATAGGAACCCCTGTAAACGTGTTTATACGAATCCAAGATTTTATAAAAAACAAACTTTGCACCTTTTGTATGAGAATTCGTGATTTAGCATAGCTCATAGGCTGCCGTGTGCTCACTTTGCGTGGCAAAATATAATTTTCTGTACTGACGATCTCTGATTCCTGGAGTAAACGAAAACTGTTATCAATTTTTAGCATTTTGAAACCTATTCGCATACATTTGTAACGCTTTAACCTTAACATTGTCTACATAAAATAAAATATTGTTCTCGAGTTCATGACTCGCCATAGTAAGTTCTTGCTGATGAAGAAATTCTCATTGTCAGTGCATTTCTGCCATCTAAGTAGCCAAAAATAGCGGTCATGTTAGAATTCGATACCGCTACTTGTCCTTAATATCATTGAAAAAGTATGAACCATTTTCGTTTTTATCAGGCTCATTTGCATAACAAATAGTTGCCCTTCCGGTTTGTTAGTGGCAACTTTATTCGTATTGGCCTAACGTTTCGACGCTTTCGTCGTCCTCAGAGGCTTAAAAACGACCCAAAGCATCGTCCACAACACCAGACCACCAAATGCCTCTTCTTGCTCAGCCAGTTTCGACTTTGTTCCAAACTAGCTCCGCAAAATGCTCCAGACAGAAATGAACCCACCGTTATGCCACCGCTATAGAATGAGTCCGCACCCGGAAGGACTTGACAGATACGACCGGAAATGAGTGACAGAAGCGAACGAGTGAGCATACTTTGGAAGGTAGATAGAAGGAGTCTATCAACTGTCTAGAGCTCACATAATGCGACAAACGGCAGGAAGTCGGTGGTAATAGACAAGCACTCGTTTTTGTTACTGATCTCTGGATTTCTAGCGGAAATCCAGAAAGCTTCCAGTGCCTTCCTAGCCGAGATCTCTTTCTCGCCTGTCAAGATCTTACATTTGATTTTAAACTCACTTCCATCATGCGCGTCGTTTTTATGTCTTCCTAGTGGTAGTACTAAGCTTTTGCGTCTCATACTTGCTAGATGTTCTCTTAAGCGCACGCTTAACACTCTCCCCGTCTCACCAATGTACAGCGCGACGCAATCGAGGCACTCAAGTTCATATACAACCCCTACTTTTGCGCATGCTCCTTCTTTCCCATACGGACAGACTATGCATTGTTCGGTTGTGCATTTTCGATCGTACAGCCGATTTCGTACAAGCTGCTTTTTGATGTTGCTGTTTGGTATATTGACAAGAACAACGTCGTTCAGCAGCTGTGCGTAATGCATTGTTGGAAAGCCGAGCTAATCTTATCCGAGATATAGGGGAGGCAGAGCGGGAGTTTACCATTGCTCTGAACGCGGGAATTGTGTATACGGCGGAATACGATGGAATTTGTTCAGCACATCCGAAACACAAAGCTTGATCCGCACAGGTGGTTGAATCATTTGATGTCACCTCACTGTACACGAATGTCCAGAACCATCAAGCATTGCAGGCTCTGTCGGAATTGCTGGATAAATATGCGGAACCATCAACACGTTTGGGCTTAGCAAGGCGCGAGTAATGACCCTAGTGAGCGCGTGTTTAAACTGCAACATATTTCGATGGTCTGGTAGCTAACACTCCCAGGTCCGCGGCTTAGCTATGGGTCAGAGGTTGGCACCAATCCTCGCCGTTTGCTTCATGAGCAAAATAGAAGAACCGATGATAAGTCGAATGCCGCTGATGTACTGTTGTTATATTGACGACTGTTGTTTGATCACCGCAACACAGTCCGAAATGGACGAGTGTTTTGAAATCCTCAACCAACGATCAGGGTACATCAAGCTTACGCGCGAGAAACCCCGAGAAGGATGGCTGCTATATTTGAACACGCTAGTCAAGTTGAGCAACGGCATTGTAACAATATGATGGTACCGCAAGGACAGCTGCAAAAATATCTCCATCAATGCTAAATCTGCACACACACGAAGTGTAAAACGTGCTGTGATTGGAAATATGTTTAAAACCGCAACAATGGTGTGCTCGGGTGAGGATGAGCACCGCGAAGCACGAATTCTAGCCTCGGAAATTACACGCAGTAATGGTTATTCCGTACCTCTACGTACACAACGCCGTATACACAATTCCCGCGTTCAGAGCAATAGTAAACTCCCGCTCTGCCTCCCCTATATCTCGGATAAAATTAGCTCGGCTTTCCAACAATGCATTACGCACAGCTGCTGAACGACGTTGTTCTTGTCAATATACCAAACAGCAACATTAAAAAGCAGCTTGTACGAAATCGGCTGTACGATCGAAAATGCACAACCGAACAATGCATAGTCTGTCCGTATGGGAAAGAAGGAGCATGCGCAAAAGTAGGGGTTGTATATGAACTTGAGTGCCTCGATTGCGGCGCGCTGTACATTGTTGAGAGGGGAGAGTGTTAAGCGTGCGCTTAAAAGAACATCTAGCAAGTATGAGACGCAAAAGCTTAGTAATACCACTAGGAAGACATAAAAACGATGCGCATGATAAAAGTGATTTTAAAAATCAAATGTAAGATCTTGACTTGCGAGAAAGAGATCTCGGCTAGGAGGCACTGGAAGCTTTCTGGTTTTCTGCCAGAAATCCAGAGATCAATAACAAAATAAAAAAAACGAGTGCTTGTCTATTACCACCGACTTCCTGCCGTTTGTCGCATTATGTGAGCTGTAGATAGTAGATAGACTCCTTCTATCTACTTTCCAAAGTATGCTCACTCGTTCGCTTCTGTCACTCATTTCCGGTCGTATCTGTCAAGTCCTTCCGGGTGCGGACTCATTCTATAGCGGTGGCATAACGGTGGGTTCATTTCTGTCTGGAGCATTTTGCGGAGCTAGTTTGGAACAAAGTCGAAACTGTTTGAGCAAGAAGAGGCATTTGGTGGTCTGGTGTTGTGGATGATGCTTTGGGTCGTTTTTAGGCCTCTGAGGACGACGAAAGCGTTGAAACGTTAGGCCAATACGAATAAAGCTGCCACCATAACAAACCTGTTTGGCACAGCAAAACTGAGGAAGATTATCAATAATTCCCAGGTTTAAACAAAACGGAACTTGGAAATTTCTAAATATTTTTAAAAATTCAAATTAGCCTTGTAAGAAATTTTTTTCGGGGGCGTGGCTGCCGCCACTAACCCGGAAAAATTTTAAGAAGCATTCCAAAAAATTTTTCAGAGAGCGTGGCTAACGCCACGCCCCTTGATCAGAAAAAATTTTTGTCGCCCCCCCCCCCGAACGCTATTCTGGGTACGCCACTGTCAGGGAGCTATATAAGTGTGATCTTTCTCTCATTCTCCTAAGAACCAAGTAACACTCCGAGTAGTAGTAATTAAAGTTAATGCGAATAAAAGCGATTAGTGCAAAACCTCCTCATAGACAATGTTTCAAACTGCTCTTTTTGAACTGCTCACTTTCAGGCCAACCGGTGTTCGAACTCGTGAGAAGGCATTATAAAGCTGCCCATGGCTGAATACGTCCTCAGGAAGGTATACACCAACTTTGGTAAACGACTGCTTCTAGGACTTGTTTATCGTCATAACAAACGCGACCATTACGGGGAATTGACGTCTTCTTAGCCGAAATGGTAGTTGCCTTTCTCAGTA